GTTTCTGAAACCCGAACGCCGGATGGCTTGGTTTTTGGTTTGGGCGAACACCAAGTGTTTTTAATGACTTAAACATGTTTGAAAAACATTTTTATGATTTAAGAAGTGCAATGAAGGTTTTTAGCCTAAAGAGCCAAGGTGTAAAGATTGGGTCGGTCTTGATCACAATGAAGACCGACTCAACGACACTAAGACTAAGGTCTTCGTTCTTGGTCTTCTTTTAGCTCTTGTTCTTGTCTTCCTTCTTCGCCTTGTATATTCAAAGTTTGACTTGATCACGGCGGTTTGGCATTATCAAAACCTGTCATAAAAACAAACACGACTTTAGTACGAAAACGTGACATGCCCGTGTTTCAACAGCCTAATCCCAGAGCTCGGGTATAACATTTGGTATCGGAGCCTAGTTGTTCTGCATCCCCAAGGACCAACGTGCTTCCCTCAAGCTTTCTCCTTCCCCTTTGTTGTACCAACCCTTTGTTCACACCCCAACCATGTCAAATGAATCTCAGCCCATGTCTCATGAAGAGCTCGTTGCATCCAACGCCGCCTTAAAGGCCCAAGTAGAGTACTTGGCCGAGGAGGTAGCTAAGCTCAGCACCCTTCAAGGAAGTGATCACGAGGATGATGCTAGTACCAGTAGCACCACCAAGGTCAAAACTAATGACGGGTCTGATTTCAAAGTGGACATCCCGACCTTTGAAGGAAAGAATGACCTAGACGAGTTTCTAGAGTGGCTAGAAATGGTGGAACGCGTCTTCGATTTCAAAGAAGTTTCTGATGAGAAGAAGGTCGAGATAGTGGCGTTGATGTTCCGCAAGTATGCATCCACGTGGTTGACCAATACTTGCACCAAAATCAGAAGAAATGGTAAGGAACCAGTGTCTACTTGGACTAAGATGAGGTCCCTCTTGAAGAAGAAGTTGTTACCCGCTAAGTACGTTCGTGAGAATTTTGCCCAATTGATGGAGGCGGCGTGGATGATGGCATGAATCGCCTTCAAGTCCTCATTGAAGAGCGAGGTATGGCTGCTGTCCCGGGGGCAGAGAATCCGGGTGATGATGTAGAGGAGGAGGCGCTTGTCCGGTGGGGCCGAGTGAATCGTCGGTGCGCCGCTGTGGCGGATCAAGTTGGTGATCCCAAGCTCACGAATGACGGCCGCCTCTTTGTTGAGGATCCAATCGTCGACACCATAGGTTGCGATGTCGTCACCGCGGATGGGCAGCCCTGCGACCCGAGCGAAGGTAGGCAAATCAATCTCTATGTCGTAGAGATTGATGCTGCTGCGAATGGTGTCCCCGTCATGGCGGAGATTGGAGTAGAAAGCCCGGACGAAGGCGGGATTGAAGCTCGAGCGGCTCTTGGAGACGAATGGCCACAAACCTGACGCTTGGAGTTGGTTGTCGAGGTCGTGGTACCCTTTGTCTTGGGGAAACAACTCCGGGAGCACGCGAGGTGGAGAGATCGGGCGCTTGGCAAAGTGAGTGAGGAAGCGTGTTAGTTCTTCCTCCGACCCGAACTCAAGAAATGATCCGTCCAAATATGGGAACGGAGGAGGCGCGGAACTTGAGGGTTCGGCGGTGCTTTTCTTCTTGGAAGCCTTAGACTTTGATCTTCCTCCGGCCATGATTAAGGCGTTTTTGAAGAAAGACTGAAGAAATATTGAGATTTGGATCAAGGAATGAAATTATGATGTTAATGGTGTATTAGAATGAGCAAATATGAGGGATATATATAGGGAATGGGAGATTAGGCCGTTTGGATTCAAAAATATAGTTGTTGGGCAATTAATGTGGTGCCCAACGGCTCTGAATTTTTGAAATGCAGGTGCCTTCCCAGCGATGGTAGAATCTACCCATCGATGGGAAGGTCGCCACTGGAAAGCGAGGAAGAACCCAAGGCTGCCTTCCCAGCGATGTTCGGATTTTCCCATCGATGGGAAGGTGGCTTCTGGAAAAGAGAACATGGCCTTCCCAGCGATGTTAATACCATCCCATCGCTGGTTTGGTATTTTTGAAAATCCGTTAAAGAAATTTTAAAAAATAGTTTCAAACACCCAGCGATGGGAGAAAGTTCCCATCGATGGGTTGGGAGGTTCTGAAACAATTTTTTTTTTTGATAAAAGTCCTTCACCCAGCGATGGGACAAAGTACCCATCGATGGGTTAGGGTGTTCTGGAAATCCGTTAAGTATTTTTAAAAAATTAGAGTCAATTACCCATCGATGGGAAGAAGAACCCATCGATGGGAAGAGGGGTTCTGGAAAAAAAGAAACTTCCCTCCCAGCGATGGTATGTCCTACCCATCGCTGGTTCCCCCTGATTTCCAAAGTTCTTTACTTCGAACCGTCCCTGCAAAAAAGAGTTAGAAAACCCTCCGACGCTCAAGTTAGTAAACGTTCCAGTAATAATAAAAGAATGATAAAATGCACAAATTAGATCATCGTGGAGTCAAGGATTCTGAGTTCGCTACGAATGCGGAAGAACGACTCTTTCTCTAAAGGTTTTGTAAAAATGTCGGCTAATTGGTTGTGTGTTTCAACAAACTCAATTTCGACATCACCTTTGAGAACATGATCTCTAAAAAAATGGTGCCTAATGTCAATGTGTTTCGTCCTTGAATGAAGAACGGGGTTCTTCGTCAAGCTAATGGCGCTAGTATTGTCACAACGAAGAGGAACGTGACTGATACTAAGGCCATAGTCCACGAGTTGTTGCTTCATCCAAAGGATTTGAGCACAACAACTACCGGCGGCAACGTATTCCGCTTCGGTTGTGGATAACGCAACACTGACTTGTTTTTTGCTAAACCATGAAACTAAAGAACTACCAAGTAAGTGGCAAGTCCCACTTGTACTTTTGCGGTCCAATTTGCAACCGGCAAAGTCCGAGTCGGAGTAGCCAACGAGAAGACACGAAGAGCCTTTTGGATACCACAGTCCAACGTTGACCGTGCCGACAAGGTATTTCATGATCCGTTTCACCGCGGTTAAGTG